TAAGTATTAAAAAATTAAGATACAGGGTGTTTCATTTATATTTTAAAAGAGATATTTTAAGATTGTTTATAAAAACTTCCGAAATTGTATACAAAGGTGCACAGAGTAAGTTTTAACTATTTGACTAGCTTGTAAATTTGTTTCATTAAATTTGCTGTTTATTTGCTCCTTTCTTGTTTCATCAGCTGCACTATATACGCTTGTCTAGGAAAATAAATTCAAAATGAAAAGAACAAATGTTTCTTTTATATCTCTTCTATTCATTTTTAATGATATTCGATGTTGATTTCTTTCATTATGTACAAGGTACTAGTAGTGTCCTCTCTAATGAAGATGAGCGAGGGGTCCGATTTTCTGTATTTAGGATTCTTTGATCTAAGACTATCGGATGAGCCCCAATAGAGCGAAACATGTGGTATCAGGAGTACATAATTACATACAAAGTACAGATTATTTATTTCTTCTAGATGGAAATACTTCGTCCTTTATATTTCTCTATGTATATATCATCTACCCATGTTATGTGAAGTAGTTCTTAATCTATCTTCCTTTTTGGCAACCGGTTTGATATTTCCATATATAAATTGTCTCCTGCAGTACAGCCTTCAATTGTTTCAGAGTCGATAAAAGCTATCGTAATGTCTAATATCATATAAAACTTAACATAATATTGGTTTCGAACACTAGAAATCTTCGGATTTTTACTTTTTGTTTTATCTTTAGATTGCGCCGTATGCGTCTGTATGAAGTTATTTTATTATCACTTTCTTTGACGGAAAAAAATTGATTTCACGTTTTAGGCTTCTACCCAGTCGCTCTGATGAATCCTGCTAGGACGAAATACGTATAAGCGAATTGTAGAGGCACTATATGTGAAATCAAATCTTAGCTGTCTTTTCTATATCTTTATTCGGATTTTGAGTGTTAGAAACCAGTTCACGAAAGAATGTCTAGACGAATCGATATGTTGTAGATTGCGAAATGCAATTTTAGATTCCCATGCCAGCCATTCATCATCTGCTTTGAAAATTGAACGCACATATTTAGACAAAAATCTGAATTTTGGTTTCGAACACCTAGAAATCTTTGCATTTCTACTTTTTGTTTTTGTTTCAACGTAATATTTTAAAATATATTTTAAATATATTTTAAAAAACCTAAAAACAAGATGTATGTATATACATATATGTATATATATTTAGTTCGAGTAGTTTCGATTCTATATATGCCAAGGGAACAATAGAAGCTTGGACCAACCAAGGCATTGACAAAAGTACATAGAAACTTTAGGAAATATATACAAACAAGCAAAAGCTAAGGTAAAAATGTATGAAAACACTCCAGTATTTCCTACTACTAGAGGCCTCCTACAAGAAGATACAATATCGCCAAAGCTCTTCACTGCAAATCCCCACTAAAATAATTAAATACATTTCTTCATATATATCTACTGTTCTGTCTCACATCATCAACCTATCTGTCATGGATGGCAAGTTTCCAAGTGACCTTAAAACTGGAGTAGCTAGTCCAATTTTCAAAAAGGGAGATCCATGTTTGGTTGATAATTACAGGACAATCACTGTAACAAGTGTACTCTCGTAAGATTATCGAAAAGTGTATTTAAATGCAATAAAATATTAAATTTTCTGAATAAATATGATATCTTAAATAAATGCCAGCATGGGTTTCTTCCTAATAAATCTACAGAGAGTGCTTCTATTTCATTATTTAATTATATCCACGCTGCTTTGGATCGAAAAAGGTATGTGGGTGCACTCTTTTTTGACTTAACTAAGGCTTTTGACTCTATTAACATTGAAATTATACTGCATAAATTAGAAGCCCTTGGTTTTCGGGGTCATTTCTTGAACGGGTTAAGGTCATACTTATAACATCGTAAATTCCTAGTAAAAGTCGATAATAAGAAGTCATCTGTTTTTAATCTTGATCAAGGTGTACCGCAAGACCTTTATATATTTCTTTTATATGTCAATGATTTGATAATTTTTTTAACTGCAGATCATACAGTTCTCTATGCAGTCGACCTAATGTCAAAAATGAACTTGGTAGCACAGGAATTTACAACCAGGTGTAAAAGGAACTCTTTAATGGTAAATGCAAAGAAAACTATTTGTATGCACATTTTTCCGTTAATTGTATATTCCCTTGTACCTCGTCTAGAGCTGCTTCAAAAATTGCTTCTGAATACAGCTTGAATAATAGTGGTGAAAGTATACAGCCTTGCCTACCTCTCCTTTGAATGATTATAGTTTTAGTATTTCCCATTTATATTTAACAAATGTGTTTTGATAGAGTTCACCTGTTGTGTTGATGTCGTGTGAATCCAGTTCTTTATCTGTAAGAATTTTTAGTTTTAAACTAAAATAAAATGAAGTCTTCTATTATCTCGTTTCTCAAATTGAACCAAGTCTATGAAACAAATTCTCTAAATTGTGATAAATTCTTGATGATACCGGCATATATTTAGTTTTATATGTATTAGTCACAAGTCGGATATTCCCTCCGCCATTTAGCAAATATTTCATCAGATATATAAAAATAGTTTCTACTTAATCTGGATGCCGTGACTACCTTTCCGTAAAAATGACTACTATATAGCAAATGTTTAGTAAAAACTTGCCATAGATATAATAAATTGTTTTAGATTATGATTTACTAAACTTTGGTTTTGTAGATTGTTCAAGTTTTTAAAACAATCTCTTGAAATCTAAGTGAACAATCCCTGTACACTAGGATGATTTTCAAAAACTAGATAATGAATTTAGTTTATTTTTCTAATTATCTTAGATTTTCTTATTAATCGAAAGTTTCATGAACTTAACGGTATTTAAATGGGCAAACATATCGTGCGTGTATGGGATTTGTATTTTAATTGTTAGGACTCTGAAAAGAGTATTTATTATGTGCATTTAGCTAAGTAATAATTAGCATGTAAAAGATTTTATACTAGAATTAAATGTTTGATGTTTCATTCGTAATAACCTCCTAAGATATGTAATAAAATCTGATAATGAATATGTAATGTATAATTTTCAGAGTCTGTAACAATGTAAGCAAAAACGAATACTTTAGTTCGTTCTGTGAGATTTGAATAAATTGAAAGAGAAAATCTGTACGTACAGTTACATGTACTATTGCAAATTCCTGTACGAGACACCTGCTCATATTCAATCTTTTTTAACAATTGTTTTGTGTATGAAACCTTCGATTAATGCGGTAGACTTGATTTAGATAACCTGTTAAAAGTGATGATTGATAGGTGAACAAGTTTTGTTCGGCTTACAGTGTTGTGCCAAACCATATCCCATTTCAGCTGGCTGTTTGCACAGAAATTTATAAACTCACTTGACCATTTTATTGTTTAAAAATCATATTGTAGTATCAATGTGTTGTACTCTGATGTACCTATTTCTCTGATGGTGTACTAAAATATAAATAAACTATTTAATGTACTGTGACTTTAATTCCTTAACTTTTACCTGGTGGAGCCTAAGAGAACCCAAATCTATAATTCTAAAAACAACCTATCCTTTCAAGCAAAAGAAAACGTGAAAAAGAAAATAACGAAACTAAACTCTGAAATACTAGCCACAATAAATGGAAAAATAATAAATCTTTGGAGGATATCTCGATCGAAATGCTAAATGGAGGAAAATGAATAAAAGAATATCTGATGATACTTTTCCATAAATATATATTTGTTTGAAGCCAAAATACCATAAAGTTGGAGCAACGCGACTACCATCTTGATACTAGACAGCCTATATAGCTAACTACACTCCGCGTCATAGAAAACGGGCCGAGCCAAATATTTAAAATATTTTCGAAATTATTATTTATTGCTACAAAATTAAGCATTTATTTTTTTGTATATTGAATTAATATTATTTTATTTTTAATGTGTAACTGGATTGAGGATATTCGTAGAACCTATAAAACAAAACAATTTTGAGAAAAAGTTGTTTACAACTTGATCAATTTTCGAGGAAGCGACTGTTTTGAGAAATGTATGATATTGTAAAGGGTTCTAATGAGTTTTAAACGCATCTCAGTATTACATTGCTGATTGCACTCAGGCACCACGGGTTGCTTTTGGTGGTGGTTCAGTCATGTTTTGGGCAGGGATTTCTTTTGATGCGCACACGGATCTCGTCGTTGATCGACAGAGGTGCGTAAACAGCAGTAAGGTACATAATGGAAATCTTACATCATGTGATGTCCTATGCTGGATTTATTGGCAACGAATTCCTGTTAATGCAGGATAATAAGAGACCAGTATTTTTTATAAATGTGTCACTTGTTAATTGCGAATGGTTGTATATTTAATAAAAACTTTGACAGTTCACCACAAGGAGAATTCATGGTACTATAAATAGGTCTAAGTGGTATATTCGTTTTATGAACTTTCGGTACTCCATAAAAATGAGGAGTCTTACTGTAATGAGGTGTAATTAATCTTCTTTGATAAGTTGTTAAACAATCTTTAAACTTAAATAAAGATCTATATATTCTGTTTTTAAAAGGCTTTGTTGTTCCTTTGGTAATTTTGTATGAGGTCCGTTTGTTATTAGATCTTTAATTTTGTTTTCATATTATATTTTATCCATTATCACAGTTGCATTGCCTTTGTCTGCTAGTAGGATGATTATGGAGTCAGTCATTTTTTAAAGCTCTTAAAGCCTTTAGTTCCTCTTTGCTTATCTTTTGTTCAATTTTAATAGACTTTTCTAATTCAAGTTTACATAATACTCAGTATTCTTATTTTTCGTTCGTTTTTGTAAATATTGAGAAATTTTCTCCACTGAGCTAATTATGTCTAATTTTTGAATAGATGGATGAGTAACAGCAAAGTTTAGACCATTTGACAGTATTAAACTCTCCGTTACATTTAATTGTCTATTTGATAGATTGACAACTGTCAATAATGACATATTAGCGACATTTTCTCCATTGTTCAAATATTTCCAATAAATACTCATTATAATTCTTAATTATTTATTAATAAAAAGTAAATTCAACTATTTTATCTCATAATATTGTAAACAAATAATAAATAGACGATTAATATTAAAGCTCAAATAAATAGTATAATAACGATACAACATTTAGTTCAAAGAAGTGGATGTAAGTAATGCTACGCCACGTTCATAGAAGCTGTGTGGGTCCTGTCCTGCTGCGATATTCAGTTCTACCGTATACAACAGTTCGGTCCTAGTAGAGTTTAGATAAAGAGGAAGAGAAAGTTTTCCCTCTTTCAGTTTCTCGTCGCCAGTAATTCGGACCCATCGGAAAAGAGTGATTGGTAGTTCTATCATGATGCTGGAGGTGAGTAGCAGTTGATTGTTGCGACATTGAGCACCTTGCAGTTTAATACCTGTAAGAATAACATAAATTATACAATCTGACTACTAACCACAAACACTATAAACTATTGTCTTTCTCCAAAAATTCGGCAGTCAAAAAATCTTTATATTGACCTATTTTTATCTTTTAGCCTACGCAACTTTAACGCAAACACATATTTTCCTCTATAATTAACTACATAAACATTCAGTACCGCATACATCAAAATTCATCTCGCAGAGGCATCCGTGATAATATCAAGACTATTTCTTCGGTTATACTTAATATTAGTCAATAGTCATACTCAATTGTTAGTATGAGTATAACTTACTCAACATACTAGACACTATTTCATTAAGACCTGTATTTACTGTCTATGTCCTCGACTACCATATCAGTACGTCCACCTATGAGTTTTAAGTTGTCCTACGAGCAAAAATAACTTGTGAATAAAATTTTAAAAACAGTAGCAAAAATGTCAACATAAAAAGTTCTAATTTTCCATTAAGAAGGTTCTCACGCTACGACCTGGTAAGATCGTTTGGGACTTATCCAAAAACATATTGAGATCGAAAAACGTTAGAACTGTCCCAATAGAAGAGATGGCAGCACCGGTCTCCTTTCGTTTCCAAAAATTTCGTTCGTTTCAATTTTCAATCCAACTCTCATCGTCAGAAATATTTAGAGCAGCCCCCAACGCAAATACCATGTCAACAAACGTGAAAGTAACAGGAGACTAAGTCCTGATGAAATTAAGTAACTCTGATATTAATTTTTATAATAATTTCACTTTTATTTCTTTCCATTCGTCACTTCAGATAAGACTTATGATATTCTAACCACCAACTCTCAGATACTTACCAATGACAGCAAAACAATCGTGAGGAATAGAATCTTTGTCGTTACTATCCGTGATTGTAACATCTAGATGGAGTTCTTCCAACGGCCAGCTGTTGGCCTGGGCAACGCATTGTCTTGTGGCGGTTATGTAGGCTTCTGGATTTAGTAATCCACCCAACCATACAGGAAAACTCTAAAAAACAAAAGATTAATAATACAGCCCGATATTTATAACGATTTTTTTCTTCACACCTGTAACTCTTTAGCTCCCGAAGAAGAAACTACTTGAGACACCTTTTGCAGCTGCTTAATCCTCTGGCTGAAGTCGGTAATCCATTGCATGACGGTGCAACCTTTCGGTATGGTGTATCTGTGCCAATTCTTGGGTATAATACCTCTCACTAGCTCAGCCAGCATCAGTCGGTGATAATTGGTTTGCTTTTTCTCCCCCTAAAACAAACATTCTATTTGTTAATCGATATTAACAAAATACGAAATATGTAGATATGTCTTTTACGGAGGAAACAAACAGACAAGTTATAATACTATTAAGAATGCGGTGATATCATGTGCTATATTTGAAAGTTTCTAAGTGTCTCAACATTCTGTGATGGACTCATTTTAAAACAAAACAGAAGGTTTTGTTCAACGTACGAACGGAACTTCCGTTAGTTCATTTGTGTGACGTTTTTAAGTGTAGACTGGAACCTTATTATACTTGGTTTAATTTTAAGATACACATACTTTAAGTAGTCTTTACAAAGAGTAGCTATACCAAGTAATTGCGGCGCCCCAATAGAATCCTGACTCAAAGCATCAAGAGTTTTTTAATAGAAAAATTCAGTGTCTGGCGACAATATTAGAAATCGAGATCGTCCAAACTTTTGCTTGTAAGGATATTATTCTTCTCACTGCGCTACCCAGACGGCTCTCCTCCTCCTAAGTGCCTTCTTTGTTGAGGTTGGCGATCAATATGGCAAATTTATCTCTGTTCTGAGCTTGATGAATGAATTCATTTCCTCTTGTGTGAGGAAGTTGATGAACAATCTCTGATGTTTCGTAGCCAAGATTTTTTCTTTCGTCCTATGCCTCTTTTCCTTCAATCTTGCCGTCTAATATTACCTGGAGCTGCTCAAATTCTCTATAGCTCATTATGTGTCCTAGATATGACGTCTTTCTAATTTTGATAGTATTGACCAGATAAGGGCATGTAAACCAGATCTTGCTATTTCAATGTGTCTTCTAATTTCTTTTGAGTGGTCTAGTTGACTATTTAACTGTCTGCCCAGGTATATGAAGCTTTGGGAACTCTGAAGGGAGATACCATTTATTTGTATGTTAGTTGTACTTAACTAGTTCATGGAGGTTTTTGTAGAATACCAGAATTTTGGTTTTGGAAGAGTTAATGTCCAAGCCCAGCCTGTGACTTTCTTCTGATAATCTGTTCATCAATATTTTTAGTTGGTCTTCTGTTTCTGCTAATACTACGGTGTCATCGGCATATCTTATATTGTTAATGATGATTTCATTGACTCTGGCACCTTCAGGGCGATCTTCAAGAGAAGCTCTAATAATATTTTCGGCATATACATTAAGTAATAGGGGGGACAAAATGCACCCTTGACGCACTCCTCCTTCTATGTTGATGTACTTGGTGTTTCCGTTCTCTCTTCGAACGCATCCTGTGTGGTTCCAGTATGTATTACTTATGACAGCTATGTCGTGTTTGTCCAACCCTACTTCTTTTAGCACCTCAATCAATTTTCCGTGTTTGATATGGTCGAAGGTCTTTCTATGATTGACAAAGCATACATACAGCCGTTTTTGAACCTCAAGATACCTTTCTGCTATCAGTGTCAATCCCATACTTGCTTCTCTAGTGCCTGTACTCTTTCTAAAACCATATTGAGAACGACTCAGGTATTCTTCACACTTATTGTAAAGTCGGTTATAAATTATTCACATAAAAATCTTAGCGGCATGACTCATTAGGGATACAGTTCGATGGTCTTCACATTTCCTTGCTTTTTGTTTTTTAAGAAGAGCTATATATGTGGATGTTTGCCAGTCATGCACTATTATGCCAGACGGTTCTATAAACATTTAAACAAAGAAATAAACTAATTCTGTACGCTATAAGTGTAGAAAGGTAATATATTGGAATGACGCGAAAGCCTAAAAAAAAAACAAATTTTACTTACTTGACAAATCAAAAGTACATCATTAAGATCGTGTAGTACATCAATGAGAAGTTTGGAAGCAGAATTGACTTCCCTCTCAAAATATCTATAAAGGGGATCTTTGATATTTTCGACAGTTCGTTTTAAGGTTTGAAGAGAAGTTGGTAACAAGTTAACCCAAGTATGAGCGCTGTTATGAAGAGTCTTCATCCAGGATGGTCGACCGTCAATTTCTGCATGATCTGTAGGCGAGCTGTCATCAATAGAGTAAGCCAATTCGTCGTCATCTTCCAGCTGCTGCATTTTCAATAATTTGGCTATTAGATCGGTACCTCTAGTTGTTAATAAGACCTACAATAGAAATGTATCCACTTTTAGTAAGTAAAGCATAGCATAGCATAATATAATAAAGATAGTATATTATAATCCTATAATAATGTATTAGAAAGTAAATCTCACCTTTTCAGCATTATTTGGTAATCCCAACCAAGCTGGAGTTTGTCTATCAGCAAAACTCTCGATCCACTTCAAGAAGTGATCCCTTCTAGTACCATCTGGCATTGTAATGTGTCTATTTCCACCAGGTCCATTGTCGATGTTAGCCACTAAAGCAAAGTCGCTCTCAAAGCTCTTAGGAGTAAATAGTTTATTCAGGAAGGAATGTAACAGTCTTTGATCGAAATCGTTATCGATTTTACCACCATAGATGGATTGTGAAAGCAGCGTGACTAGGGCGTCCCATGGGACTTTCTCTGGCGGTAAGTTGGTCCTTCCCTAAAAACAAAATATACGATAAAGTCTTCACAACAAATTTAAATATTTAAATATTTTCGGTGACATAATAGGAGAGGTGCTTTAACAGCCAAACAATTACGCCGACTTTTTAAGTTCATTAACACTTAGAACACTGTTCATATCCTTAGTTTTCTCTTTAGTTTTAATATTAAAAAAAGTTTATGTTACAAAGAGAACTCAAACACTTGATTTCTGTTATCATAGATCGTTCATTCTGTGTGTTGTCATTCTGCATTGCATAAACAGTGCAGCTAATAAGAAATTGAAAAGAATTGTTGACAATCCCTGAGATTTAATCAGTTTTTCACTTAAATATTTTCTGGTAAGCTTAACTAAATATACAAAACGCCACTTATTGTGAAGTTTAGTAGATTTTAAAACGATTCTTGGCAACATTGCTTAAGCAAATCAGGGTGAGAGCAAATCTTGAATGACTAAAACAAAGATTCGCTTCTAAATAAAAAAAAAATAACTAACTGTATTAAATAAAGCTGGATTGAGTTCATTAAACAGAAGATTCAAGTTTAACCTTTGTTCTCTGAAACTTTGCTCTGACAAGTTTCTTATTAAAATATTGTTGGCGATAAAGAGGAAACCAACAAGAATTTTAACTTGAACCTTGGCATTTTGTAGAACTATTAGAACATAACTTACCATAGCCGTTGTATCAATCCAAGTATCCAAAGTATCACAGGCAACTCTTAAATCTGATTCACTAAATTCATAATGTTTGGCCCAACCTAGAGGACAATATCTCAACCTTTCCTGGACAATAGCATGGAACCACGCCAACAAGAAGTAAAGCCTTGCTCTTTCGTTTGGTGCTTTCATCATCCTACTGGCTGGAACCTACAAAGATATTGGATATGGGTAATAAAAATCGCGATTTGTGTTATGATTCTTCGATTAAATTACTAATTTATACTCACTGTGCTGAATGTTCTCAATAGGTTAGCTCTAATACCCGGTGGAGGTTCGAATACAAAAATTCTTCCGGCTCTAAGAAGATTAACTGGTAGTTTTGGATTAATTTCCATAGTGAGGAATAGTCTAAAGTTGGCGTGAGGTTGAAGTGAGTGAAGCTTCTTCTCCAACTGGACTAACCATTGAGGAGCCAAGTGCACATTCTTTAGCATGACCCATCTAAAGGCAATGAAAAATATTTATACAGTACAGTTATAAAGTATGTCAATAAATATAATTTTTATACAGTTGGTTTAGTTTAGGATTAGGCATAACCCAATTAAATGGTAACGTCGTTGGTTCGTTCAGATGCTAGCTGGGATACATGTGTTTTACATTTTTTTACACTTAAAAAAGGCATTAAATTTGGTATAACAAACTTAGAACATACAGACTAAAACAAAAGAAAATTAGGACAACAATTTTCCATAAATTAATAAATTATATAGTTTTAATGGTAGAATAGAAAACAAGCGAACTACTTCTACTATTCAAAAAAGGAGATAAAAACAGCAGAATCTGGGAAATTGTATTCTGGGAAAAAGAAAATTATATACATCTGCTCTCTGGATAATACGTCTAAAAAGAATCAATACTTATACTATCTGATTTGCCTGAACTACTTTGGTACTATACTATAACCCATGCATACCCGATTCAAAAATTCCTATTTTTTCTTCTTGTTATAAAAATTCAATCATATGACTTACCTTCCAGTCTTGCAGGCCATATTAATAGCTCTATCAGCCTGGTTGAATCCTTCGGCAGATCCGATAGCAATGCTGGATATTTGCTTGTTGAGTTCGGCTGCAAGATCATCGACACGACCAGAAGCGTCGAAACCGGGAACCGAGCATAGAAGTGCTGGAACGTTAGACCTAATCTCTTTTTCGACGCATGCAGCAAACTCAAGTTCTTTTTCTGCCAGGTACATGAAGTCCGCTCCGAGAACGACTGATACGAAGTTGTGAGCTGCAGCTATTACTCTATCGGGTCTGAAGGCTTGGATAACCAACAGTTGGTACATTGCTCTACCTATACAATAAAAAAAGTAAATTATTATTTAAAATTATTCGGTCAGATAGCCAAGCGGGCTAGGCGGCCGGTTCCTCACTAGCTTCACTGCTAGTTGTTCAGAGGAAGCGAGTTCGATCCCTAGCTCGGTTCACAGAAAACAAAAAGGCTAATGCAGCAGTTTAAAATTCTAAAAATGAATCTGCGGCTTAGACTAGAATATGCTGGTGTCTGACCGGCCTATGGTGGAGCATTACGGCAAGAAACGTAATGGCTCCTAATTAAGGGCTTGCGGCTCGGTGATACTCCTCCACAGATCCTACCGGAAGGGCGTGTGCCGCCTAAATACCGGGTATATACTTACTTAATTTTAAATAATATATATATATATATATATATATATATATATATATAATTTACTTATATATATATATATATATATATATATATATATATATATATATATATATATAATTTACTTATATATATATATATATATATATATATATATATATATATATATATATATGAGTAAATGTTATTTCTACTTTAATATATTCTCAAGGTGAGATGGGTAGACGATATCAAAAAAATAGCCAGAACAGATAGATGAATAGTAGAATATATTTTCAAGATAGCTAATTTTATGGTTTTCTGGAAATTATTTTCTTTTGTAATTTTAACAATTTTCTTTTATATTAGCAATAATAAATATATCTATATCAGTTTTTAAGTGTATACACTCGTGCTGTAGGGATCTATGCAGAGTAGAGTCCAGTAGAGTAATACCAAGTAGCAAGAATCCATAGCAGTACAGTAAGTACTGCTCATCAATAGGTCGATTTGATCAACTAAACTATTATTTTAGCCTTTATGTTTTCTGGAGAGTCGGAACCATCCATCCACTATATCATTCATAGTGAATTGAATGCGATAATTTGGAGTTGAGTGTATCCTAACTATCTCAATCTTTGTTCTGTGATAATGACATTCTCACATCGGATTTTCCCTAATAAAATACACCAATAACTTTATACATCATCATCATCAATTAGAGTATATTACTGCTGAACAACGTATATATATATATATATATATATATATATATATATATATATATATTGCACTCCTAAGTGGAGCTAGAATTTCAGTGAAAAGAGCGCCTATTTTGCGCTAAGGCCTTCACCACATTCCAAGATTTTCCTTGGCCTCTTATCTCGTCCATGATGGATCTTCCCAAAGTTTGTACTCAGCGACCTCTTTTTCTTCGTCCTTGGAGATTCCACTATACAATGTTTGCAATACTGGAATTATTTTTTCTGAGTGTGTGACCAATCCATCCCCACTTTCTGGACTTTATTTGATGTTCTACCCTTTTTTGTTCGGTCAGTTGTGGTAGATCTTCGTTTCTGATGATGTTAGGCCAGAAAATACGAACAATTCGTCGTAGACATTTATTAATAAAGACCTGCAGTTTATCTATAAGGGATTTTGTCACTTTCCAGGTTACACATCTGTAGAGTAGAACATACATGACATTTGACACGAATATGCAGATCTTTGTCCTTGTAGTATAATAGCCAGATCTCCAAACAGGAGATGGTCAGTATGATGGTCGTGAAGATTTTATTTATTGCGGTAAGCAAGGTTATTTCTCTCCAAATCTTGCACAGTGTGAGGTTGCCCTTTTTTGGAAGCTTAATAATGAAGAACGTAGACCTCCCGTAAAATGAGCATCTTGCATACAATTTGTGATGATGCGCTTTATATCATCCGCCTATCTAGTCGGTGGTCGTCCTCTGATTCGATATGCCTCTTGTCTTATTGCCAGACTTCTGACTGGAGAATGTCAAAGTATTGTTCAAATTAAGGACGAGAGAGTATGTAATAGAACATCGAGAGATCGTCCAACTGCGAACTTGAGAAATCTTCTAAGAGTGTGATGTTTGTTTTCTGTATCAACCAATTTGCACTTGAGTTAAATTTGGTGCTGTATATACAACATCAATATAGTTATATATATATATATATATATATATATATATATATATATATATATATATATATAGTTATATATATATATATATATATATATATATATATATATATATATATATATATATATATATATACTATCCATTCTACCGTCTTCTTTTTCTTTAACACTATTATAAATTATTAACAGAAATGGACTCAGGGTGTCGCCTTGCTTTATTAGATGTGATCGAGTATGGAACTTTATTTATCTCATAAGTTAAATTAATTAAAAAAACCATAATAATTCACGACTAAAATATATTCTGATATATAAAGAGAAATCCGTCTTATATTTGGCTTAAAATAACACTTACCCACTGCACTGAGTTGTTTTTCCTCAATCCACAATTGTGGAACTGCTTGTTCGGGACTTCCTTGTTGCAACCAAGCTCCAAACTCAGGCATGTCCTTTATTTGATTCGCTAATTTCTTAAATGTTGGTAATTTCGTCGATAATCTAATGACGGCTTCTTGCTGTTCGCTGTTCAATCCATCTGTAGCGAATGCACCTGTATTATTGAAAACACCTTCTTTGCCTCTAAGGAAGAAGTTGAATTCTTGATCCAAATTCGGTTCAGTTAGCTGTCCTTTCAAGTGGATTCTACAGAGTAATATTGCAAATGTAAGTCGATCGTTATGGAGCATACCTCTTGCTACCCTCTCATACACAACCTAAAAGAAAGAAATTTATATTACAATAATAATAATTTTAAAATGGGATAGTTCCCAGTGATAGATAAAAATAATAATAGTCCCTCCACGAAGGAAGGAGCAGGGCTAGTGTCACACTTCAATTACCCCTGGTTTTTTTCAAGGTACTCATTTTTATCCAGACTAAGTCGATCGTGGGCCTTTAAAATAATTTTAAAAAAATCTAAATTTTTTGAAGGCGCTAGAGATCGAACCCCGGCCTTCTGCGTCCCAGTCAGGCATCTCTCTCCATAATATACTCATAGTAAAATAAACAAACATAATCTTGGCTCAAGATCAAGGTCTGTGTCGAATGCAAGTCCCCAATTAGCGCATTAATTTGGGCATATCCCTCAATTTTGTTAGTAAATGGGTTCAGAGATAATCTAAAAATCCTCTCGAAAGTCCTAATTAGCGCAGTAATAATTAAGGCGTATCCTTTAATTTTGTTAGCAAATGGTTTCAAAGATCACCTAAATAATCACTTTGTTACTAACTTAAAAAAATTACAGAATCTCAATTTGAACTTGCATCATTATGCACCCTCAGGGAGTGAGGGAGTAAGAGAAGTGGAAGAGACAGAGGGAGGGAGGATAAAAGACAAAAAGAGCAAACAAGAAAGAGCGACAACAAATAAATTGTTGACATTACGAGAAAGGCAGAGAGAAAGAAAAAATATTTACAAGTTATTGATTGATGAATCCAGAAAGTCATACATATCAACAGAACTCTTTAATATAGAGGTGGGAACGAATTATTTAAATTGTCCCAAAATCCCAACAATTGATGTAAAGCAAGAGCGCATAAACATCAACAATAATATTGCAAGTAAAATAACATAATACCTAGCTAGTAATAAGATTGATAAGTACAACATAAAAATAATATTGACAGTATAAATAAAGTTTTTTAAGAAAACCTCTTTAAATTTGAATTTAAAATATACTTACAGAGAATAAATTTGAGGTGATGAGATTCAATCTAGCTTGGTAATCGCTGATTCCATCCAGCTGAGCGTTATTATGCAGAACAGTGGCAAAAACATCCAAGAACATCTTGAGTGAATATTGATACAAGAAATGAACTTGGTTAAGACTGTCCATGGTAAAGTAGGTATTACTGCAAGCCTGTGATAACGGTAGATATTGTTGAGATACAGTTTCAATTTCAGAAATAACTTTATCGGTTTCTTCAACTTTCTGGCCAATTTCTGCTGCTTCTTGTTTCAGGGTTTCTAGAGTGGTAATAACACTGTCATCGTCCAAGATTTTGCCCTTTGCGTCGTTCAAAGCCTGTAATAGAGATTTTTCTAGTTGTCTCAGTCGTAAGTGGAATTCTCCTTGTAGTTTTAATAAATCTGAACGCTTAGCATCAATGTCTGGTCTTTCGGCTTTAAGCACTTGGTTCAAGCACTGGCTCTGGAGAGAGCTTCTAGTAACTGTGAAATTAACAAAAGTAACTCGAGAGCATATATCAGGTGGAAATTCTACAGTAGGATCTCTAGTTGATAAGAAGATAACAAACGATGGTGACAAATCGATATCTTGGTCACCTAAAGTGATCAAGACACGACCTCCAGTTCTTCTCAATTCTCTGTTAAGTACTGGGTTAAGAATAGCATCATAATTTTCAACGTCTTGGACCAGAAGAGGGTTACCAAAACGTAAAGCAGATTCTAAATTCTTCCTGAAAGAGTCATCCAAGAAACTAGTCTTGGTAATCTTCTTATCCTTAAATTCGTTCATTATAAATTCAGTAGCTTGACCAGAAGGATCAATAATAAGAGGATATCTGTTAAACCTCTTCAACATAATAGCGTTCTCAGTACATAAATCATCCGTTGGTAGAGCATTAGCTTGCCATCTAAGTCTTTCGTCTGGATTGGAAAGATATTCCGTTCTTGCGATATCTGCTCGGTATTGGATGCTGGCCTGAGTTAAATGCTGACACCAAGTGCTAAACAGGTTTTGACGGTAATGCTGATCAAAGTAACCGCCATATGATATAAACGCAGCCGATAGAAGAACGTCACCGATGATGGTAGACATTTGAGATCTGAAGGTCTCACTGCTGGCTTCCCATCTTTCTCTTTCGATAACCAGAGATTTCAAAAGAGCTATTGACCTGTCTACTTTAGCCTGTACATTTTCCAAATCTGTCTTAATAGCCTGCGCCTGAGCTATAAGTTGTGCATATTCTTCCTTATATGCAGCGATACTCTGTTCCAATTGGCTAATGAGTGCTTTAACATCTTCACCTCTCTTTTGGTTGGTTTCAGCTTGTTGTTCTAGAGATTTTAGTTCTTCACGGAGAGGCTCCACCTTTTTCAGCATGTCTGCGTATTGAACTTGGGCACAAGCCCATTTGACAAGTGGACCGCAAGCGTTACTGGCGTGGTAGATCTTATCAATGTTGTAATCTGGATTACTAAGATAGCGGTTCTTCATTTTTTCTCTTACATCATCACTAAAATTTAAAAATTGCAATAATAAACATTAAAATTAGCATTTTTTAAATTATTTTTACCTAATATCTTCCGTGTTGAAGTTGTTAACCACGGTGTTGATGAAGTTGTCTCTCATAATTACAGCACGGATTGATTTCCAATCACTAGCATTTTCACCAAGCAGTAAACAAATAGATTCCAAAGCCAACTTCACAAGAGCTGGTGGGTTAGACATACTACGGATTTCTACCAACTGTTGTTTTTTGATGGATTTTACAGCTAAAAATAAAAAATACGTAAGTATAATTACATAAAAATAGTAAGTGTAAATTAATAAACAGTGGGAATATTTACAAAAAAGGGTAAGTGGTTATCTAAATAAATTCTTTGTGCTGATAATTGTGTTAAGTTGTGCCAATTGATTGTACTTATTGACAACCGTATTATACATTTCCTTTTCTTTTACTTTTTTCATTAATTAACCGGCTAATTTTATACTTCCTACATAAACAACAATCTATAAACTAATGCCTGCTATTTTTTAGTTAGCATTCAAGCCAATTCAGTGATTGTGTCTCTAGATCTTTACGATCTAAAATGGTGAGATTTTGTACTTTTAATAGCATTAGTTCGTTCTGTTATTACTAATTTTAATTAAAACTGGAATACAAAGTATTTTCAAGGATTTGAGAAACCAAAAAGTTTTACAATTCATCAAATCATAGTTTAAATTATTTTACAAATTAAGTGATGAAAATATCTTACCTAGTTGGGCTTCAATAACGGCAGGTTCGACCTGTTCTAGATCAGCCATTACTTCTGACCGTTTCTGTTCAATGTGAATTGTTTGTTCAGCCAACTGCTGCTGAATCTCTTGACTCTGTACTTTCTTCTTTTCGGCTTCTTGTTGATCCTTCACCATCTGTCTGAGTTTAGCGTTGGCAGCTTCATTTTTGGCCTGTAGCTCCTGAGATTTAACGGCCAAACTCTTTTGCATTTCTTCAACCTAAAAATAATTTATTATTAAGTATTAAGTTTTTTTCAATAATGCTTGATAAATTCGCCTGTTTACTGTTGATGATTTAAATAAATACCTGTTCTACAGTCTCGGCGATCTTATTCAGACCAACATTCAAATGCAACTGTTGCTCCTCCAGATCTGAGCGTTTCTCGTTGTACAGTTTAACGAGATGATGAATAAAATCTAAGTAATGTCTTGGAGTAATCGCCATGGTACGGCTTCCTCTCTTAACCAATCTGCTGTTGGCTTTGTGGAGAGTCTGATGTACATACACACAGGCATTGATGACAGCCTCTCTATGAGTAGGAGATGCTGAGATATGATTGCAAGCAGCGGGGAAGAAGTCTGGACACCTCCAGCTTTGTTTTTCAAGGTCCAAACGGTTCGTGAATTCTTTACCAACCTATTAACAATTAAAAAGTAATTATTCGAAAATAGTTTGATAAACAATATATTTCTTTTATTAATGAAGAAACAAAAATCCAGTACTGTAGAATATTAAAAAAAATTAAAACCACTAACCTGGAAGAGAGCTCCATCTGACCAGTCACCGAACCAGTTTAAGACGCATCTGTTGAACAAAGCTGGAGATGTGGCGGCTCTATCTTTCAGACCATCGGTAGAAGGATTCATGGTGAAGACAACATGCAAATTACGCATTACTTGTTGCGTAAACCATTTGTATAATTCGTCATTGGAATCCAACATTAAACCTTTACAAATATAAACAATATACATATATTAAATATTTACAAAATCAATCATTTTATTCTGTTTCTCTCTTTATAACCTACTTCATTGCTTAAATTTACCTGAGTCAAAATCTATGTATTGAATATTATCTAATACTTTCTCAAACGGGTAGTTTATGACTACAAGTTACAAAAATTGTATTCACATTATACTATTGGTATATTACATTAAATATACGTTTGGGAATAATGTGATAGTTAAAGAAATGCTCAATTTGAAGCGATAAAGATAGTATCAGAGTTTAAAATATTAAATCATCTATATTTCAAAAAGTTTATGAAATTGAATTCCTCTTACCTTCCCTTTGGGCACCTTCCTTACACTGGGTCATAAGAGTTGTATATTCATCCCCCTCAAAAAGTCCAGGAACTTCACCATTAGCTAGTAAAGTGTTCATTCTTTCCAAGAAACTGGAGTCTAACATATTGGATTCGTCCAAAATGAAAGCAATCTTTTCGTGTTTGCATCCACTCCTTCTCAAAACAGATCTTAGATCTTCATCGAAATCTTCCGCTGTGTATTTGTTGTGTACTTTAATTTGGAATATAGATAAACCATTCATCCAAGCTACGAATCGGGACAGAGTTGTTTTTCCGGCACCAGAAACTCCGATAAGTAGTAAGTGACCTTGAGGTTGCCTGAAAATAAAAAACACGAGTTTAATTGAGTGCTAAGTCAGACAGTTTAAAGAATAATAAAATTAATGTTAAATTTAAATCTTCACAAGGTGGAGTGCTATTGCCCCATTGGTCTTTGAACTATACTGCTGCCTTCGGTCGCTTTCTGACTAAGCTACACCACTTTGGTTTCAATACTCCTGGCTGATTATAAAGGAATATTTGAAAAATTATAGCGATGTAATATTTTTTTAGAGCACAGACCCTACTAGACATCAATTCAGACTTAACTTCCCCCTCTCTAATATCCGTAACGTCGCAGCAATGACCAAAACAAAAAAAAATGAGTGGGCAGAAGTTCTCTTGGAGTTCCAGCTCTGAGCTAAGTTCTGGCTTTAGTTCCTAGAAGGAGTTACTATTACATCCTGGCGATAAATTAGAACTCCTAGGAAGCTGAATAACTTTGCTTCCTAGTATTGGCATCCTAGAATTTACCTAAATTATGGTCTTGCACAAAAGATTTTTTTGTGCACAAAAAAATAGTACAGTCCGTCCCAAACCCTTCTTTCAGTGCGTCATAGTTGTTCGAATTCTCTCTAACGCATTAAGCTAGAAGTGTCAGAAAAAAACGTGAGTCCCTGATTATTATACATAGAACTTAGAAAATTAGGTATCGGTCACTGGTATTCGCATATTAAAGCGAATTCTACTTACGAACGTATAATTGGTTGGAGTTTAGAATACGCTAAATAGATATCCAATCAATTATGCATATAAATATAATTTGACACAGATGATCTTGATAATGACAGTGACAGTACTTTCACAATGTCAACTGATAAAATGATAATTGCCGTTCCAGGTTAGTATTTTCAGACATTTTACCTACAGTGAAAATTAAATTTTGTATTTATTGTCATAAAAATATTTTAAATATTCCGAGATATACCGAGAATGAACAAAGAATAATATTACAATTATTAAATTAGTTTCAATTAGAAAAAGAGGCTGAGTTATCTTTATTATCAGTTTCTGTCGTTCGCGAATCAGATTGTGAATTCCGGAATGATATTGAGAAAATATCTTAAACTAATACCGTTATGGATATTTATATGTATTAAAACGGTTCTTTTTAGAACCACGACATTTTCTTGAAATTTAAGATATAATTGATACCAGCCACATATCTAGTGTAATCATTGATTTTAAAGAATCAGATTCTGAATGGGATTATGGATTGTTTGAAATATAATATTCATTTTTGTTATTCATAAAAAAGAAGGTTCAACAACTGCTTCACTATTTAAACTATTTCCACCATTTAATGACAAATCTTCACAAAATTAAACTATTGGCTGCCACAGCAACTTATCAATCAGAAAATTACTTATCCAAATATGACTGATTTTAATCGATATTATTTTATCACAGGAATGTTTACTTTGATGCCTTGCAATTGCAATTGTCAGTAAATTTTTTACCTTGCAGTCAACTCTTAAAAGATTCTAGGAGAAAGCGTTATTTTAAATAAACAAACCTTCCAATTCCCTAGTGTTTGTAATTAATAATAATAAATCCATAAACAAATCTTAGCTAATTAAGCACTTTCCTTGGAATGTATAAAATAGAACAGAATAGAACAGAATTATGACAAACTGCTATGCATTTAAAAAAAAAATAACCTTTTCACATTTAGCCGATTACGATCCTGCAACTGTCAGATTTAACTAAAATGTCATGCAATAATTCTCGACATTCTTTAAATCCTATATGACGTCAAAATTAGTGACGCACTGAAAAAAGGGTTTGGGACAGACTGTACAAACAAACAGTACATATAGAAATCGAAAACACAAAAATACATGTTAAGAAATTACAAATGTATAGAATAATGCAGATATTAAGACTATGTAGATGCACATAAAAGGAACATTGAAAAGGAACTATAAAAATATTCAGAAATAAAATTGAATTGTTTATGTAGTCTTATAATATTAAGTATTAGGTATGAAGTGAGTCGTTTTTCGATATTATTTACCTGAATATTCTGTCAATCCTTAAAACATGGTCCAACACCTCATCGAACAGCACCAAAGGAACATCAAGTTCTTCTTCATAGAAAACTTTTAGTCTAGCCTTTACATATTCTCTTAGTTGTTCTCTTCCAACAGGTACATAATCCTTAGATAACCAATTGCTGTAAAGAATGGGTCTTTCCAAAGCTTTCTCACAGTTAGCTGATGGGAAGTGTTTTAACGCTACAGCATCAATGTTTTCGTTAGTCCAACGTCTTTCGGTGTCTTCGACTAATCTGTCTTGGAATAGACGGAGAGCTTCGTGGGCCCAAAGCCTTACCAAACCTAAGAAATTTAAAATATATTCAGACTACAAAAGTTTCATATCTTTTTTTACAAAATAATTACTCGTTTTTAAACAAAAAATTAACTTACCCTCAACATGAAGATTATCAAGAGGTCTTATGGCTTCACAAATTCCTCTTACCCATCTAGTCATTTCTCTTGGAGAGTAAACATAATGAGGTTGCATATCTTGAGTAAATCTATCTTGAGATGCCAAATAAAATTCAACCATAGCGTTAGTCAATGGTTCGGCATAACCTTTCAGACCAGGCGCCAATCTTAGCATAGCTCTGGTGAAAGTACCGTAGATCTGTTTCAAAGATGTCTCTCCTGGGTAATCTACATAAATAACGGGTACGTGCCGCAGGAAACGGTGGGATAGTGGCTTCCTGCCTGGATCAGTTGGAGGATTACAAGCACCAACGAATTGAATACGTTCTAGTGAGACCCAGGATTGATCTGAGGCTCTGTAAAAACCTTTCTGTTCCACGATTTGACGCAGGAACATTATAACACGTTGGGTGCCGTAGTTGTCCATGTCTGGTAAATTTATTTCGTCACAGAATAGCACCAACCATTTGCCCAGCTACAAAATAAATAAAAGTTTGTACTTACTTTTGAATACTACAATGGCCAATCCATTTAACAGATAAATAACGTAGGAATTTAGAAAAACAATATAAATGGTAATAAATCTAGGCAGAGAAAAATTTAATAATAAATAAATTTTTTAAAAATTAACACTTTCAAATGACTTGTTTACATAAATTGTCAATATAAACAAGTGATTTAGGTATAAAAGAATTAGACGGACTCTCAATGTACAATGAGGTGGAAGTAAACATACAGAACCCATGAACTTATATCACAACTAATAAAATAAAAAAGCAACCCAACCAAATTTATCTACCTATTATTATTATTTTATTGTTAACCCTTTTGAAAAGACATACTATCCAAAACCTAACGTATTTAAATACAATAATTATTATAAAAAAGTACATACGATAAAACAAACAAAAATCTTACCTGTATTGGGGACAAAACCACACCATTAGGCGTTTTTCTGTATTCACAGTAGTGGTCGAATGTCTTCAGGAGCAATTCAGGAGTTGTAGCAGATGAAAAGTTCAAGCCAACAACTTCCATATCAGGTAAAGCCCTTAAGGCAGAGAATAAAGTCATCGTTTTACCAGAACCGGGTGGGCCACATAATACTAAAAGGAAAATAGATATGTTCATTAAAAATTAAGTTTTATAATTATCAAAAGTATTTTGTATTATATTGATAGCAAAACACGAAGTGAGCCAATTAGATAAGCGAGGTAAGCGCCAAACAGCGAGTAAGCCGTGGTAGTTAAACGTAAGATTTTTGAAACACTGTTTTTGAGTGGGTTAAAAAGTTTAAAGAGACAGGTGAAATCACCGAAGGCGATCCCATGTAATAGAAGACCATCTATATCGAACACAGACGACATTATCAAGAAAATTGATTAAACTATCCGCAAAAAGAATTGTCTGAATGTACAAGCTCTTGCTAAAATATTATTAATTAACAAAGATGGGATTCGTCAGATTTTGCATAAATCATTGAACAAGCATTAAGTTTACGCGAGAATAGTGACAATACTTCTCATTCCAGAGCAAAAGAATCTTATATTTGCTCAACCAGCCCACTGTGACTCTTTTTATTTCAGAAGGTAAAATAAAATTAAAAGTGAAGCAGGTTCCCAAGACCCTGACTTTTAGCACCGCTTTCAACAAGTCGTTGCATTGAAGTCGTATGGAGCATTGTAGGAATCGGCAAGGAGAGTACATTGAAGGGAATGAACTTTGTAATGTAATTGGTGATCAATAAAATATTTCCTCGTAATAATAATCGTCAATGCAAATCAATGTATATGTTAACTGAAATGCCTTTATGCTTAATAAGAAAAAAAGGTTCAAAGTTTAACATCAAATATCATAAAGCAGGGAAGAAGACAAAAAAAAGGAAAAGAAGAATGGAAAAGAAAGGGGTGAGTTAAAATTTAGAAAATTGGCAGGACAAGCATAAAACTAATGAAGCTAAATAAACTAGATAAATGGGAGAAGGGTACCAAATAGACACTTGGAAAAGTTTAAGGACATTGAAGTATTGTCAATTCAAATATATTTTAAAGAAATATCTTCAGTAAATATCGTAACTTCCAATTGAATACTATTTACTTTTGATCTACATTTGTACAAAGTTTGTCTTTTTAGTTTTGGATATATCCGCTTAGAGGGCGCCACCTATAAAACGTTCCGACACAAATGTAACCTCAATCTTTTGTTAACATAAATCGAGAGTTTCATTGCAATACAAGTCACGTGTCTATCTATCTATCTAATTAGCCTTCTTCGGTCCATCTTTGGACATAGGCTTCCCCAATCCTTTTCCATTCTTCTCTGTCTGTCGCTACAGTCATCCATCTAGAGCTCACGTGCTTATTGATATCATCTGCTCATCTCATTTGGGGCCTTCCTCTGCTTCGTTTATATTCCCACGGTCTCCAACTTATAAGAATTTTGTTCCATCGGTCTTCTTTTTGTCTTATATTGTGTCCGGCAAATCTCCATTTCAATTTTGTAACTTCTTGTCTAACATCCCTCACTTTTGTTTTCTCTCTTATCCACTCGTTTCTCGTCAAGTCACGTGTAGATACAATGAATTTTTGAAATTAGCAAGTCGGTCGAAAAATGGATCTTAGCAGAGAACATTTTCGAGCAATAATTTTTTACAATTTTCGGAGAAAATTATCCCAACAGCAATGTCTCGCTGAAATTGTTTCTCTGTTTGGAAATAACGCATCACACCAATCAACTATTTCCCGCTAGTATTGCGAATTTCAACGTAGTCGCTCTAGTCTCAGTGACGAATCCAGGCCAAGCCACCCAAAATAGCAGTCACACAGCAAAACATTGATGAGATTCGTCAGCTAATTAGGAATTACCACCGTGTAACAAACCGGGAGATAAAGGCATCTTTGGGCATTTCAAAGACCTAAATCCAAAAGATCCTACATGAAGAACTTAGTGTTACGAAGTTGGTTTCCCGTTGGATACCTCATTTACTCACAGGAAAGCAAAAAGCGATTCACGTCAATTGGTATAGAAAAACATTGGAACTAGTGGTGATGAATCTTGGATTTACTTCTACGAACCGAATAATAAACGACAATTCGCTGTGTGGGTGATTCACCATGAGGAACCACCAACAAAAGTGATCCGTTCTCGACGTGTGTTAAAGAAAATGTTCGCAACTCTTGTGTTAAAATCTGGCATGTGGCAACACTTGCTTTCGAAGGTCAAAGAACGGTTACTTCTGATTGGTATAAAACCGTTTGTTTACCAGAAGTTATCGCGAAACTCCGACAAAGCAACAGACAACAGCGAATCATCCTACATCAGGACAATACAATTTAATCAGGACATCCTACATTTTGGACACTGTCCAAAAGAAAATAAGATTTTTGGAGCTTCAAAATATCGAATCGTTAAACCATCCATCGTATAGTCCCGACCTAAGTTCCAACGACTTCTTCACGTTCCCAAAGATCAAGATCAAGAGTTAAATGATCAAGAATTCAATCCGTAGGCAGCGATTCCAGTCGCCAGAAAAAGCCATCGAAAGCGATAAAGTACTTTAAGTCTCTATATTTTTGTCTTATGGTTATATGCAAAACTAAAAAGGCAATCCTCGTATTTACTGCTAGTAGCATTACTACAAAAAAAGAGTTAGTTCAAAATACATACCTAATGGTTTATGTTCAGCTAACCAAGTATAAAGCAAGGATTCGTGCCTTACTGTATCCAATGTGGGAACTACAACATCAGGTGAAGCGACCTTGTGAGTCTCAATCTCAATTTGTGGTACTTTATTGGACCAAAGCGACCATTCTCCCTCGATGGTGACCTCGTAGTCGATTATGGGCATGTTGTTGTCTGGAGGAAGAGGTACTGTTGTTACAGACCTGATAAAATCTCCTAAATCAGAACGAATCTTAAGTTTGGCGTCTCCAGCGAAACTCCAAAGGATGGAATATATCAAACATTTTGGAATATATTTATCCAAAACATCATTGGTTAATGGAAAATCGGGATGCATGTGATTATATTGGAGAACGTTTCTTACGGCTTGATTTAACATAGAAAATAATGAGCTGAGTGCTCGAAGACGTGTGAAGTCCATAATATGTTCTTGTTCCATCGCATATTCCAGACAACGTACGACTAGACCATCGGGTGATAAGTACGGCTGCAGTAGATTGACAACATCGACTTGTAGTTGAAGAGTGGGAGAAAGCATATCGTCTTTATCGGATTTCTTGCCAAAGCTGCTATCTTCGCTTTCTTCCAGGGGTATATTCCTCAAACGAAGGATATAGTTTTCAAAAATCATGTCAGTTGACAAGACATCTTCAGAGAACCAGACCATACCGCAACGAGAAACCGTGGCTAGTGTCGCATATTTCAAGTCTTGAACCTAAAAAATGTTTAGAAGAAAAGTGTTAACAACGTGCTTTCAAATATTTTATGTACAATAAATAATTGAATCAATTCTCCAATTTAGAAATATTGTAGCTCACCTCGAACATAACCCTAACGTTTGGAGGCAGGGAAAGACGTTCGCCGTTGGGCAAAGTCAACAATTTGTTGTCATCAAGTACTGAATTCAAGTTTTCTACCCATTCTGGATCTACGTCACCGTCGAAGATGATCCATTGACGTTTGTTAATTTCTCCCCTGACGTTGTCAATAATTTTTCTGCAATAAAAAATTACTATTTAAAAGTTGATCCACTGAGCTTTGGAACATTTTGATAGAACTTTAAAAAATGACGACTCCATAATCATCCTACCAGCAGACAAGGGGAATGCAACTGTAATAATGGATAAAATTCAATACGAAAATAAAATTAAAGATCTATTAATAAACGGACCTTATACAAAATTAACAAAAGATCCAACAAAGCCTTTGGAAAACAAAATATATAGAACATTATTCAAGTTTAAAGATGTTTTAACAAGTTATCAGAGAGGATTAATTACACCTCATTACAGTAAGACTCCTCATTTTTATGGAGTACCGAAAATTCATAAAACGAATATACCACTTAGACCCATTTGTAGTACCATGAATTCTCCTTGTAGTGAACTATCAAAATTTTTATTAAATATTTTAAAACCTTATACAAATAAAAATGACACATTCATAAAAAATACACAACATTTTTTAAATAAATTATCAAATATTGAATTTAATTCAAATAATACTTTGGTAAGTTTTGACATAAATAGTTTATTTACGAATGTGCCATTAAATAAGACTTTAAGTATAGTCAAGAGAAAATTAGAGAGTGATGATTCATTGGCAACTAGAACAAGACTAAACATATCGGCTATAATGGAGTTATTAACATTATGTACTGATAATACATATTTTCAACTAAATAATGAATTCTATAAACAAAATTTTGGTCTAGCAATGGGCTCTAGTTTATCTCCATTCTTAGCCGATATATTTATGGAAGATTTTGAAACAAATATCATTTCTAAACAAAATTTCAAACCCACAGTATGGTGGAGGTATGTAGATGATGTATTCTCAATATGGCCTCATGGATCAGAGTTGTTGGACACATTCCTAAATGATATAAACGATAAAGAAGAAACAATAACATTTACCATGGAAAAGGAATATAATAACACGCTACCTTTCCTGGATGTTTTAATCTCTAAGAACGATACTGGATATGAGACTCAGGTATATAGAAAACCAACACACACCAATAGATATTTAAATTTCAAATCAAATCATAATATTAATGTAAAAAAGGGAATAATTAAATCCTTATACGATAGAGCCAAAATTACTTGCTCTAACGAAAATTCGTTCTTGGAGGAGAAACATTTGTTAACATCTGTTTTATTAAAAAATGATTATCCTTTATCGTTTATAAATAAGGAATTTTCAACAATCGATCGAATAGAACAGAACAACTTAGAACGAGATCCTACAGCATACACAAGGAATAATATGAGGAAAATAACAATACCGTACATAAAAGGATTATCAGAAAAACTTAAAAGGATAGGAAATAAATTCAACATTTCAACAACATTCAAAACAACAAACACGTTGAGATCTATTTTGTCCAAAACCAAACCTAACAATGAACAAGAAAGGACAAAGAATTGCATTTATAAAATACCTTGTGAATGCGATCAGTTTTATTTAGGTGAATCATCAAGGCCATTAAATGTTAGAATAAGTGAACATCAATCTTATATTAAAAATAGAGAATTTGATAGATCTCAAATATGTAAACACGCATGGGATAATGAACATAGGGTTCAATGGAATAATTCAAATATAGTCCTAAAAGAAACGGATGGTAAAAAAAGAAAAATCAAAGAAGCGGCTCTAATTATGCTAAATGAGGCCAATTGTGTCGCAAATTCCTCGGCAGAATGTAGTAGGATCTGGTTACCAATATTGAAAGAGGAAGTTATTAATAAGAAAATACCAGTATTAGTAAGTCAGTAACATATAGAGGATACATCATTTATGTTTTTTAAATAACGTAACATATAAAATCAGAATTTTGATGATTGTTGAAGGTAAACTAAATTCACGAACAAATACTTACAATGTCGGGATAGTATTATGAGGTTTTTTTCCTGGTTTTTCCCTCATAATTTACTATGGAATCACTAACAGGAGAATTTTACTGTCATCATGTCATGTGTTTGTCTTTTTAAAGACGAATTACATGCTATGATTTTTTCTGACTAATATTCTCAAGTTAAAGTTGATTTCATGTAATCGAATGAACTATCTTATAAGTAAAGTCGTCCCAGGAGCGCAACTCAACAATATTGGCAATATCATTTTAAAGTCGTCTACTTTAAAATGCATAATGTATGTCTGAATTGTCAATATAAATGAGTCAGATAAAATTAAATTATTAGAAGAATTTTTTCACTATGTAACAAAAAACAAAATTTGTTTAATTTACTGTTTGTATTTTGAGAACGATTTCCGAATTGGAAATTGAAACGTCAATAAACGTATTTTGATAGAGTCGTTTTGGACACATACAACTTCAAATTACAAATTCCTACATATTTCTGAATAACAAAAATGTAAATATATTTATGGTTTATTCCCTAAAATCAATAAAGAAAATGGAGTTGGCCGATTTTGCAACTAAGCTCTGGAGCTGTCAGTTTTTGAGCCAAATGTCGACCATTTCAAAATTGGAGTTGTTTTGAAACTACATATTAATAAATAAAACTGCCTTCAAAATCGGAACAATACATCGGAAAACTTCTACTGGGTATTTTTCTATTACAAAAATTGACATGTTTTAAATTAGGTATTAGTGAACAAAAAAATACGCTCCATCATAAATCTTTATTTAAAAAATTAAATTACTTTTACTTTAAATAAGTAATAATTTAAGTAAGATCATTACAATATATTAAGGACTAAGTCGTACTGAGTTTCATCCTCCAGGTCCTCACATTCGCAGGATTCACCATAGTCATCCTTTTCTTGATTGATAGCATCAATTTCAGCAGTTGCTTCATTTGATGAGCTGATAGATGTACCATTGGTAACATCAGAATACCAACGCAAACGTTCCAACTCTTCCCAAATATTTCCAAAATGTTTCGTGAGAAGAGTCTTTACGTCAGCTATTTCATTACATCCACGGATTTACTGAACAACCCAGAGTAAGTGGAGCTGGATTAATTTGAGAAATAACTTTTTCTTTTTTTTTGTGATCGACAACAGCTTGCCAGTGTCGGAATTCTATGCCAGCTCTCCTGCCACCAACACGTTAGTTTTAGCTTTATTGCGAACAAACGGAAACGTTTGAACACCCTGTGCGGTTTTAAAAAGTTTTTTAGCTTCATCTTTCCAATTTAGCGCAGTCCAATTCTCACCCAGTTTTTTTACTTTTCCATATTTGGAAAACACCTCCAAGTACTCTGACACTTCAATTATCATCGTCAGTTTTTTAAACTCTTTCACCAGAATACCAAAAACTCTGTCCGCTGGAAGAAAAGAGTGACTAGTTAGTACCGTTAATACAAGATCTAAATATTCCACCTTATTAGGAGCATAGTTATTTAACCAAAACGCGCACATTGCTAGTACATTCATGTTTTTATTTTGGCCCGCACAACCATCAGCAACCCAACGAACCACATTAATTTCTGCAAGATCTCCATTTCTAGTTTTTTCACATAGCTCGTTAAAAACAGCAGGGGCAACTTGGTTGGACTATTTAAGCATGTCGTTTTCACACCATGTATAAATTGAGTCAGAGTCTGGATTCAGTGAGGTTGACGAATTACCAGAAATGACACCAAGATTATGGCAGAACAGCTGTCCACTTTAATATGTCATTAGATCAGGTACTTTTGGAAGTGGCAAATTTTTTTGCATGTCGAAAGAGATTGTCAAGAGTCCATTTCTTTGCTCCCATAAATGGTCAAAAAATGCTCGAGCCTGCATTTTATGAAGTTTCTTTTTAGTTTCCTATGAATTAATCATATCAGTGTCCTTTTTTTGTGTAGCTTGTTTTACTCTCTCTTCAAACTGAAGGCAAGTTGAGCAAACATATGTAAGAGGTGACGAAAAACTGACATTGAAACGTGTGTTAAAATGTGTCTAAAGTAAGATTCTTTTACCTTTAAACAATTTTCGTCTGTGCTTTGATCATACATACCGTACATTTTGCTGATGTTTAAATCAGAACTAATGAGCTTGCTTGCTAACTTGCTTTTACCTCTACTATAATGAGACTCAATTCCCTTAAATGTTTTAATAAAATTAATAACAGATGATTGATTTTCTACAAACGCTGCCTCTTTCCTACACCAGCACAAGTTTCTTGGGGCAACAGAGAACCATCCTTTTTAAAACGCTGGAGTAGACTTATTCGATGCTTTGTGATCCCTAAAATCTGTAAAAAGACATTTCTACAAACCTCTATTTGAACGTGGTCCTCATTTAACACAAAATAATGATAGATGAATGCTTTGGAAGGTCCACTTTCTTGTTGTACAGTTGTAAAGAGCTGAATGGAATCACGAAACATCTCTCATAGTTAGCAATTGGCAACATTTTTTATTACTACTTCTATGCTTACAAGTCGGATAAATTGGTACTGATTTCGCAGAATACCTGAAGCAAACAAAAATACGTGTTTAATCTTCGCAGGGATAAAAATTAAAATTTATACATTTGTAATTTAAAAACCAAAAACGGTGTTCATAGATAACATAAACCATGACAAGACGTAAATTAGTATACACAGACGACATGCTAACTTACCTTTTAATCTTATCCTGTTACCGTTTCCAATTATTTTTGTCGACTAATCTCTTTCTGGCTTCATTTTTAAGTGCTTCAACTACGTTCACTTTCATTTTTCGGAAAAATAACGAAAATATTGTTAAAAAAACACGAAAACGGTTAAAATAACGTCGTTAACTGTTGCAAACTTGAAACGCAATGGCCACTATGAGTAGGTTTATTCTAGTGCGCACGACAACGTGACGGAAATACTACCATTCGATTGGCTGTAACGGAGTAATCCGATTCTGCTACAACATCAAGTTGGAGCTGTCCGTTTCTGAAACTGATACTAGCCGCTTTTGAAACTAAACCAATTCAGATTTGAATTCCTCGGAAAAAATCCTATAGGAATGTACATTATAACTCAATTTTGAAAAAAATGGAGTTGTCCGTCTTTGATACTAATCTCTTCATATATTCATTAATTTGGATTATATATTATATACTTGGATTCCGTTTGTAAAAAATATTGATCTATAAAAGATTGTCAAGATTGTAAAGCACGTTTCTGCCAGAAATACAAACATTTTCTGCAATCAGACTTACAACAAAAGGTAAGTAGTCTCACTTTGTGCTGATAATTCTGTTAAGTTTTACCAACTGATTGTTGTTATATTTACAACCATATACATTCCATTTTTTATTGCTTTAATTAATAATGAACCAGCTAATTCTATATTTCCTATATAAACACTGGGCCTTACCAGATCGCCTTAATAACTAATTCACTTCAAGAAACACTTCACGATTTAGTACAATCATCCCGTAGTATCTTTCATGTTTATAAGCGAATATTTATGAAATAATAATATTAAAACATTAAAAATGAAATGAAAAATATTAAGCTGATAATACCTTAATATGTGAGTAAAAAGACCGTCTGTCCATTCTCTGGTATTGGGATCCAAAACACCATACAGAGCTTCTTTGCTAATAGCTTTTGGATCGATGACGTGTGCAACTCCTTCAACGCCTTCGAACCGTTCAAGAGCTTTAAGAAGAACTCTCCATGCCGAACTCTTACCGGAACCACTTGGACCGACCATCATCAAACCGTGATTCAAATTAGATATTTGGTAAAGTTGAAGTACCTTCACAGAAAAAATAATTAGTATGATAAATAAATTAGTAATAGACCTTTAATATTTTATGAATATAATAATATAATAAATTATCGACTGCTAGTTTAGAATTATTTACTGTTTACGACATTGGTCATCCTGTACTTTTCATTAATCTTACTTAAACTAATCAAATTACAAGATAAAGAGATAAAAAGAATTACTTCGTAAAATAAAACGTAAAATCATGATATTTTTATTAATTTTTAAGGAATGTTCTTCTTTCTATTGCTCCCTATCAGAGATTGTATATCGTTAAGCCTATTCGAACTTTGTTTTTAACAGTTCATTTTTGGAGAAACCAAACGACTCTCTTAGATTTCTCGTTCAGGACATTCTTCTAAGATCCGGATTCCTTCGACCTTTTTTCTTTGGGTGTATTATATTTTGTAGAAACGTATTTTTGTCTCCACATTAGATGGCCCAAGTATTCCAATTTTCTCTTTTTTTATAGTATGTAATCCTTCGGGCGTTTTTTCCATTCCACGTAATACTTCTTCATATGTGACTCGGTCAACGCAACTTATTCTTAATCTACGTCGATAGTACCACAAAAGTATCTCAAAACTCTCAATGCCTTTTATATTGTTCTATTTGAGAGTCCATGATTCTATGACGTAGAACAAGATATTAAAAACACATATGATCTGATTAAGGAATGTAAATTTAATATAATTAAAACGAAATTAGAACGCTATCAAATCATGTGAAAACGAACGAAGGATCAAATTAGATGACGTCACTTGTTCACAAACATGATTGCTCTAGGTGAAGTCTAACTGAAGCCACATTGTCGTATTATTTTTCAAACGTGCAATATGATGAAATATCTTTTCAGTTGTTTTACTTAGATACTTGCAGATTGAGGCACTCTAGAACACTTATAGAACTTGGAATTCATCTTTTATTAATGAAATACAACCGTTTTTTAAGTAGGAATTGTATTAAAAAAATATTGAATAGGTTCCCAAAAATTGTCATTTCTTGCTTTGAAAATAATGAACAGGTTCCCAAAAATTGTCATTTCTTGCTTTCTTTGTTTGTATAAAGTTTAATTTGCTGGATTATGAGGGTTGACACGATCCAAGTGTACTTGGTTAAAGTCTGCTTGGATGTTGTGCGCGCAATACTTGGAAGCTACTTTCATCTTGTCACCTGTTCATCCAAGTTCACTTGTATCAACAGGTTCTATCCAAGTTAAGTAGGACGCTGTCCAACTTCCTTGGATCCAAGCAGTGTGGTATTTTAAAATTAAAATGGAGTCAACGGTGCCGAAAAATCGAAAACGAGAAGTAAACAAAAAGAAAATGGTCTTAGAGTGTTAGAGAAATATAGGGATAAACGAATATAAAAATACGTTTTTTCTTTTTTATTCCTTTTTTCTGGATTTCAAGCTCATGTATCAACATATCAGCCAGCACTAGAACACCTTCCACAATCACTTCCGTCATATTTACAATGGTTATTTGACATCCAACAAGTCATTTAACCGTGGCAACTAAGTGGGCTTCTACATTTGTAGAATTCCACTTAGTCCAAGTTGGAATCCAAGCATTCTTGGATCGTGGCAACCCGCATTTAACGTTAAATTGTTTCTGCTGTCCTTTATGGTGTTGATCATCGTACTCTGACATTGATAAAGCTTATTAAAGTTGTTTGTAATGATTTAAAGGCAGCACGATATTGTTATTTTCACATTCCACATTCCACTTGCAAAATACTCGAAAAGCCGGTCGATTAAAAATTTCATCATGTTAATTAGTAAAAAATGTTGCAATATTACATAAACCATATCAACATTACAAACAAATAATATATACCTTGGACACCCACGTATCTCTCTGTGCAGCAGCATGAAATAATGAGTAGTGCATTAATAAACATATACAAATGAGAACATTCTTATGTACTCAATTGGAGACATAAGTAATAATACTACCTAACATTCTATTTGACTCGAGATGATGTGCGTTTTCTAAATGTAGTCATAGTGCTAGACTGTGAGACCAGTCTTAAAGACGTGGCAACAGGATATATGAAGGTTGTCGACTTGGCGGCACAGAAAATGTTAATTTGCCGGGTGAAAACTTTATACTCGCTAGGATTCATTCTGTTTCTTTTCGCTCGATGGAGGAATGGAGTAACAGAAAGGTTAATATCTCCCCGAAAGCATTATATAATACATTTACAGTCCAGAAAGTGCCAGACGGATTATTAAAATAACAAATTAGGGGTTTCATAGAGCTTTCTCTTTAAAATTAGCTGTAAACATGGGGATATAAACATGGGAAGCTCTATCTATACGTGTTCCGATAACTAATCAGGGCTTTAAGGACCGTGGAGTCAGTTCTGCTTTGGTACAATGGCATGCAGAATGAAACCCGATTAATTGGTGAATAGTAAGATAGTCAGATTAACCGGAGTATTAATAACAAAATCAACAATAGGACTCTCTAGGGGACGCAATCGAGAAACTCAGAGACAGTGCTTCAGGGTTTAAATTATTTTCGCATTTGCCACACAAGCTCAGTTGACAAAAGGCGTAAAAGAAGGATGAAAAGCGTGTAGGCTGAGATGCTAACAGAGAGATTGAGCACAAACACAGCAGATGGCTTCTGTAGCATTCATATGGCAACAGCCTCTGAATGATAGGAACCTCACATGTCACGTAATGACCTCACATGTAATGGTAACATTTGTTATACTGGAAGAACTTTCATCAGAATGGTTCATTTGGTTACCTAAAACTTTTTTAAATAGAATATCAAATCAGTGTTTTCTGGTAATACAAAATGTTTATTTATATTAGTATTACCTAGATAAGTTATTTTATCAAAAACTATGTCTCCATTTTTAAGAAGTGTACACAAAAAGGCGAATGTATTTATATATAAATATCAATTTATTTTACCTTCTCCATCCAAGCTGATCCTCGTTCGTCACCTTCTCCACATACCAAATATTCTTCAGAACATACTTTCCTGATTTCATCCTTAAGACCTAGAAAAATTTGAACTCATAAAATGGCATTCTCTCTAATTATCTCAATAAAGCTGAAAACGGTTCTTCAACGTTCAATATTATTATCAATATTATATATATATATATATATATATATATATATATATATATATATATATATATATTATATATATATATATATATATATATATATATATATATATATATATATATATATATATCCGGTTTTTTAGGCGTTACGCCCGTCCGGTAGGGATCTATGGAGGAGTATCACCGAGCCGCAAGCCCTTATCTCTTGCCGTACTGCTCCACCATAGGCCGATCAGATGCCAGTATATCCTAGTCTAAGCCGCAGATTCATCTAGAATTTTAAACTGCTGCGTTAGACTTTTTGTTTTCTGTACACCGAGCTGGGGCTCGATCCTACATCCACTGAACCATTCGACAGTGAAGCGAATAAGAGGCAGCCGCACAGCCCGCTGAGCTATCTGACTGACTATATACAATATTTTCATTGTCAAGTTACCCGATATAGTACTATTTATTATGTAATATATTAGCTCACAGCGAATTTGCTGCATCCAATATGTGATATAAAAAGGAAAACACTTGTGTGCCAAAAAAGGAGAAAAAGAAGCACGATGCTTTGTTGATGAAGATGTTAAAAAAAGAAAAATAAAATCATTAAGAAAACTAAGAAATATCCGAACCCACTGATTTTCAAAACTGTTTGCATAAGCATTGATATTATAGGATGAATTTTTGGGCATGGTTACGCCTAAAAATGAAAAAAGACATCCAACATTATGATGTGATATTACTTCGTCAGCATTATATTTACTTGCTACCAAAACTACTTTTAGAGAGTGTTACTGAAATCCGACAGTGCTGAAAGTGCGACATGTCTCAAACACATTCTTATTTCATTTGTCTTTTTTCCATTTGAAACTATGATATGATGTCTACTGTACAAAGGTCAAAACACATAAACAATGCAGTATTTACTACATTGATCAATAAATACCAAATTCCGATTGACACAATATATTGTGCAATATCTCGATATGACCGTTTTAAAAATAATTTCGATCAATATTTACCTTTCATTTCTGCTCTTGTATACTGAACATTAGGGAATACATCATTCAACAAACTGAAGAGAAGTGGTATATCTTCAGCCACCAACTTGGGTACCATGGTTTCACACACCGATTGGATCAAGATTTCCTGCTCTGGTAAATTCTCAGCGATGCTGGCTTCATCAATGTTGGTTTCCCCCCGTTGGGTCATTCCTTCTTTAATCCGCTGAATTCGGTCTCTCTTGACGTTACCGGCAGATATAAGTACAGATTTCAGGGCTCTCAAACCGAAATCGTAGTGAGATTGATTTGATAATTGTTCGTCGCATAACCTAAAAAAGCAGTAATTTGAGTAAATATAGCTACGAAAGTAATTAAACATTTTTTTGTTTAGTTCACGTATTACAATATTATAAATGAAATTATCTACACCAGTTAAGTAGGTCTCTTAGCGATCTTCTCTTAAATGTTCTAAAGCCTTGTAACTTCAAGATTGGGTATAGTACGAGGGTGGATTGATATAAAACTAGCCTTTGAGAGAAAAAAACCCATTTTTTTGAAAAAAAAAATTGGAAAAAGAAAATTCCCAAGTTTTTTGGAATTAAATCGATTTATTTCTCAACATAGTCTCCTTTTAGCTGGATGCACTTAGTAAGACGATGTTCCAATTTTTTTATCCCATCCGAATAGTACTTTTGCTCAAGCTCTTCAAAATAGGCCAAAGTTTCAGCGACGACTTAATCATTTGTTGCGAAACGGCGTCCTCCGAGCCATTTTTTTAGATTTGGAAACAGGAAAAAATCGCTGTCGGCGAGATCTGGGGAATAAGGTGGGTGTTCAACCAATTCATAGCCCAATTCGTATAATTCTACCGTGGCGACGGCCGATCGGTGAAACGGTGCATTGTCTTGGTGAAAGAACACTTTTTTGCGTTCCAACCGGGACGCAATTCGGCTTCGAATCTATCCAATAATGCTGCGTAGTACTAGTAGTCAATGTGGATGATGCCCTTCGCATCCCAGAAAAAAGTCGCCATCACTTTGTCGGCCCAATGTGCACTCTTTGGGCTGTTCTTTGGTTTCCGATGTGTAATAATGCATCCAGGTTTCATCAACAGTGATAAATCGGCGAAAAAAATCCTTCGGATCGCGCCGTATCATCGCCAAGGGCGTCTCCGAAGTGGTCACACGTTTTTGCATTTGATGGATTGTCAGCAGACGCGGCACCCATCGCGCGGATAGCTTCTTCATGTCCAAATAGTGGTGAATGATGTTATGTAGGCGTTCGTAGGAATTGTTTAGGACCTCTATTAACTCACGGAACTTATCATGTCATTGACTTTGTTGATCATTTCAGGTATGGTGACTTCATTTGGCCTCCCGGGAGGCTCATCATCAAAAACACTCGTATGACCACGAAAAATTCAGCTTTCCAAAATTTTACTGTTGCTAACGAAGGTGCAACCTCACCATAAACTTCGTTCAGGTCGGCTTTGATTTGCACATTCGTTTTACCCTTTTTGTAGAGGAACTTAATCACCGAATGATACTCGACTTTTTTCATTTCTCCGAAAACACAAAATTCGCTTGCCTTGCGCGGCTGTAAAAACCAAACTAATTGTTTTTAAAACTTAAAATTTTGACAGACGTCATGTAATGAATGGCAAATATCAATACCGAAACCAATTCGGTATCAAGTAGCGCCATCTATCAAAGGCTAGTTTAATATCAATCTATCCTCGTATAATACTTAATTTTGCAATATTTCATGGAATTATACATTAAAGTTTTGATAATACCAAGAAATACCTGGTTATCAGAAATGACACATTTTTTTTTGCATTGTAGGAATGTTTTTGATGCTTGAGAACCCCAACGATAAACACATACATCGAGAGTTGTTTTATTATGATTTTGTGTAGCAGATTAGGGAAAACTTTGTGACTTTCTTTTCGTTGTCCAGTGTTTTATGTATTTAATTACTTACCTGAAGAAAGGAACAATCTTCGAAGCCAATTTCTCGGCTTGTCTGAATCCTTGTGAGAACAACATAACTTCGGCAATCAATTGTCTGTCTGGCGTTGTCATAGCCAAAGACCTGAATAATTTCTTTAAATTATCAGGTAGATTGGATCTTCCTGCATAGCCTGGGTTCATCGTTATGAAGATAGCCATGTCTGGGGACACCTTCACTTGTTTTCCTACCAATTCTACACTAATACCTATAACAAAACAAAAAAAGATGAAATATAGCGACATAAAAACTATAAAATATAGTATTACATGAAATATTACTTATAATTATTAAAACTTGCTTTTATGGGGTAATGTTAAATAGCTTTTATTGATGTTAGTAATTGTTATATATTAAAAGATATTAATTAAACTTACTGCCTGTAGTAACACCTTCAGCAGCAGCTTCTTTCTGCGACTTCAAAGCTTCTTGAATAGTCTGAATCTGTTGTGAAACCGCCGACAACATTCTTTCTTCCAATCTATTGAACTCGTCGAAACATCCCCAAGCTCCTACCTGACAGAGACCCACAAATATTCTTCCCATGGCCTGGAAATCGAAGGTTTCGTCGCAATTGAATACCAAGACGAAACGTCCCAACTGATTGCCGAGAGCTTTGACTGATTCAGTTTTACCGGTACCAGCCGGACCTAAAAGAAAAATCAATGATAATATTTACTGTACTGATTTCAGGGATTTTTTTCTCAAAAGAAAGCCTTTTTACAATGCAGAACACAACAAGGCATACAACCACTATAAACGGATCAGAAATGAAACGAATACTTTTGACAAATAAAAGGTAACACTGGTAAAGCTTCTCAAAACAGATGGAACACGACGTCTACGGAACACAAAAAGAAATATGGAGAATGATTAGAGGGCAAAGAAAAGAGATGGACGAACTAATAAAAACGAAAAATATTCAGAATGAAACACGGCTAGACTACTTTCGATCCCTATTTGCTAAAGGTGACGATAATGAACCACCAACACCAGAGGTGACGACAAACGAATAAATAAATATTGAGGAGAAAGAGGTAAAGGAAGCATTGAGGAAATCACCAGGAGGGGACAGAATACCGAACGAACTTCTAAAGTACGCAGGACCAGATCTGAGTCCAAACAATAATTGAACAAAACAGAATTCCTCAAGAATGAAGATCAAACATCCTAATAATACATCTCTTCAAAAAGGGAGACAAATCGGATCCGGAAAATGAGGAATTAATTTATTAAACACAACACTAAAATTAACAACGAAAGTGATAACAAATAAACTGAATGAAACTCTAACACTAGCAGGTTTTAGATCGGGTAGATCATGCACCTACGCTATATTTATAATGAGGCCAGTGCAAGAGAAATCATTAGAATACAACAAACCGGCATATCTATGTTTCGTGGACCTTAAGAAGGCATTTGACCGGGTCAAATTAAAAGACTTTATCCACTTACTGTACGCCAGAGATATACCTCTAGCAATAATCAAAACGATCGAAAATATAACACAAACATATTTAACAAAATGACACAATAAAAGTAAAAGAAGAAGAAGAACTAAGCGACCCTATTGAATCTGGCAATGAGATAAGACAGAGAGATTCCCTGTCCTCTATTCTTCAACCTGACTATGGATGAAATAATAAAAATGGATGAAAAAAGTAAGAACTAAAAAAGGATACCAAAGGGGAGAAAAACAACTTAAAATACTCTGCTATGCAGACCACGCAATACTACTCTCTCAAAGTGAAGATGATTTACAACGTATGATGCACCAATTTAATATAACCGCCAGAAAATTTAACATCAAACCAACAAACTCAAAAAAGACAAAATGCATGGCTAAAAGAGCAAATTTACCAAGATGTAAATTGGAGCTGTAAGGTCAGATAATAGAACAAGTGATGGAGTTTAAATATCTATACTAGAAATATCTATACAAATATATCTACGAAAGGCCGAATTTACAAAACAGTCATCAGACCAATAATGATATACGCAACAGGAACAAGACCTGACTTAGACAGGACAAAAAGGATGTTAGAAACAACAGAGCTGAAAACACTTAGAAAAATTGATGGTAAGACACTATAGGACAGAGCTAGAAGTACGAAGACACTATACGACATAGATGCAAGGTGGAGAACATCAAGAACTGGGTAAAAAATAGAGGAGTAGAATGGAACAATCATATAGGCCGAATGACAACAAATAGAGTGGTAAAGGCGACAAGAGACAGTTCTAAAATAGGAAGATGATCACTAGGAACACCACGAAAACGATGGAATGACAACTTACTGGAGGCCCATTGAAAAACAGACAGTCATGTCTATATAAAAAGAAGAAGATTTCAGGGATAAAAGGAAATGTTTTTGGTTTACAATAATACACGTGCGTTGTCGAAACGGGGAATGAAGGGGGTGAACAGGGCTGCCTTCTGCCTTAGGTAATTATTCGAGGTGAGGTTTTGCTTGGCTCCTGTTCAATACTGAGGTCTTTGACCAGTGATTTCTATGTTGGGAATGGGTTTAAGGAGTCATCTCCATTCAAAGAAGCCTTAATAATAGATATTACGTCCTAATCCTACACCAACATGGAAATCAATGATAAAAAATGTCAATATCGAAATTTAAAAGCAAAAAATTTCACTCAAAGATCGACCGTGTACACTTTTTACTATCTCTGCCTAGACACCACACTTGTATTATCTTATTTTACCCTAGACTAAGAAGAAACAAAATATATAGTAACCACATGTATGAAAGTTCGAAATCTAGAAATATTATTTATAAAAATTATAATTTATTAAGAACATAATTAAATAGCAAGAGCTTACCGAAAGGCGAACCTCCCAAACGAGCTTCCAGAGCTTGAGTCATGGTCAAATAACATCTGTCTGTCAACGGCGTCTGCACCAGCCTATCTTGAACTCCTAAATACTCAAATCCATAATAGAACCTCGCATTTGCCATATGGATCGTTAATTGTTTTAAAACTTCGGTCTGTCTTGGATCAAAGTAGAACCTCATTTCACACAACCATTCGAATGCTTTGTTGCTACAAACTCCGTTTGCGATCAGTCTTCTAGTAACAGTTCTTTTGTGTACGAATTCGTTTATGAGATGCTCCAATTTCTTTCTTCTGAGTTGAGGTTGCTCTTGAAGAACCGAATCAGCCAGTACGTTGAGTGTATTTTCTACTTGTTGGAGTACTTTTTCGAGGGGACCTTTTTGAGGTTCGCTGTTCATTTTCACAAGAGCAGCTTCTACATCTTCGCTCCACAATATTTGAGCAGCGAGGACAACTATTTGCGCCTGGTATTTATCGACCCATTGCATGTAAGTCTTTGAGTCAATGCCGTCTTTAAATTGCTTGATATCTTGTACAGCTTGGGTTAAATTTGAAGCTAAAGTGACACGCATCTCTTTCTCTACCATTGTGAGCCATTCGTTTATCTTTGGATGATCTACAGTCGACACTGGGTTGTTGAAGTGAACTTCTTCACCTTCTCTTGAAGCTATACCCGTAATTATGGTGTTGTTTTCATTTAAAAGTATAGAAGCAACTCCAGCAAACATTTTTTTAAAGTGTTTTTGAAGTCTAGCGATGTTCTTGCTGTTTCCTATAATTTCCAATAAATCTTCATCTCCAACGAAATAAAACCTAGGGAATGAAGTACGTTCTCTTTCTAGATATTCTCCTAAAGCTTTTTGTATTTTGCCCAATAAATCAGCTAATCTTTCTAAAGCTCGTTGCACTCCTGGAATATTTAATACGTCCATTACCATGGGACTTTTGCTAACCTTTTTCATCAATCCCAAAAATTCAGAACTGATGCTTTGGAATCGGGAGGTTTCCACTGGTAGAAGAGTTTTAATATCGGCACTACCTGAGAAGATTCCTTCGAGGTAAACCCATCTTCTCTGTACGTCGATCCAAACATCAAACAAAGCATTAATACGATTCAATTTTTCTTCCCAGGTCAATGCTTCTTCTTCAAAAACTTTGTAATATGGTGACAGCTTCATAGCTGCTACGGAATTGATGTGTTCCTTGACTTTGTTAAACAAATCGTCCCATCCTCTGATCAGTTTGCACTTGTTCTGATAGTTAATGAGGTCAAGTTCGTAATTCTGCCAGGACTCGCGAACTTGCTTCAAGAATTCTTCCAGGGCCATTTCTCCTTGGGCTACCAGAATGATATCTTTAACAATAGCTTCGTTCTTTTGTAGGTTTACGTCCCAAACCTGTCCTAGTGTTAAATCTGATAAGATCCAGTTTACTCGTAATTGTTTCATCAGTTGCTTCCAATGACGTTCTTTTAGAGCATCAGATTTAAGCTCAACTATGAGCATGTTAACCTTGGTATATGTCTGTAGAGTTTTCTTGACGTACTCATACGAAGCATATTGCCTCAATCTAAAATATAATACAGAGTAAATGTTGATCATCTTAAATTGAACGAAAAGATTACCTTGCTGGTAGTTCCTTCAATTGTGTACTTAGAGCGTCTAACTGCTGTCTGAGCTTCCTTGGTTGAATCGAAAGCCATGGTTTTTCTCTAGTTTCATCTATTTGTTGCCATATTCTTGATAATTCGGACCAAACACCTCGCAGGTCTTGGAGTTCTTCATAGACGACTTGCATTCTGTCCTCGCTGGTGCTTATACCGCCAGGATCTTGAAGCTCGAGAGCTTCTTTGGCCTTGGCAACATTGTCCCTTTCTTCTTTGAGTCTAAATTATAAACGTACAAAAAAATTAGTAAATAAATAATACAAATCAATTTAGATCTCGTTAGGCATTATAGTTACGAAAGCTTTGTTTTGAATTTACATGACATTAATAGACATAATGTGACAACCCGTTACTAAGATATATGCATATAATTGTGTTCAATCTTCTACAAATTTAGAATTTTTTAGTAAAGATAAACAGTTGTATTCTATGCAAAGATATAATAAAAAATAAAAAGAATTAATAGAATAAAATAATATTAGAAAAGAAAAAAAAGAATAGAATAAAATAAATGAACAGAATATAAATTTATCAAATAAAATAATAAATGTTCATCAATATCTTTAATTTCCACATAACAGGTATGTGTTCAATAAGTTTAATTGTTCGCTATTTCGTTGTTTTAGTTTTCTTAAGATCTATCAAATCATTCATATATGATAACGGGTACAGTTGTTGGCCGGTCACTAGTGATTGGCCACTTTCACAAAAATATTAAGATTTTCACGAAAATTTATCACGAAATATTAAGATTTTCAGAAACTATAAGGTAATAAATTTATTTGCATTTTAATTTGGCAAACAAAATTGCTGTATATTTGGTCTAGCTATCATCTCTCTCAGTTAATATTATTTAGTTGTTACGGCGTGTGTTGTTCGAAGCTTAACAGGTGTATCCAGTTTTAAGAGTTTTTTTAAAGAATTTGTTAAAGAAGGCTATTCACGAGGTGAGTTGTCTTGGCTAATATTATGTATCTGGGTATATTAATGTTTTGTGGCGATTTAGTGGGGGTACATCTTACATTATCAGTGGTTTTATTAGCAAGGTTATGAATTTTGGCGGTAAATTTGAATGGCCAAGCACTGTGTCTTAAATATGCCCGTGTTATAATGATTGGCCTACCGGCCAATTGCTGTACCTACTTTGAATTAAAATATTTGTTATAATTTATACTCCAAAGTTAAATTGACGGTTATGTTTACCTTTGCAGCATCTGGAGAAATAACATCACCAATGATTATTTACCCTTATAAACGAATTCCTAGCAATCTTCTAAATTCCGTTCTACGACAATGGAACATAAGCTGTAGCGATACGGGATGGATGAAGAATGAAAACTTTTCCAGTCATTTTGTTCGGTCATAACGAACATTGACATAAAACTCACTTAACCATTCAAACCAGTGAATTATGTTCAAAGTTACAAATTATTTTAGTGGCCTTATATTCCAATGCAACCAGAATTGTACAACCTGCAGATATTGCTACTTTTAAACCATTAAAGGCAAACTGAAAACGAGCAGTATTAAAGTTTGACGCGAAAACCCGAACTCAGTAGTTACCAAAGAGAATTCTGCATTGGTACTAAACACAGCCATTAGTCATTAACAGATTCCACAATTAATGGCTTTAAACCATCTGGATTGTATCCATGGAACCCTGAAGCAATACACTATTCCAAATGTTTAGGAAAGATCAGAGACCCTCATATAAGTATTAATCACACTATTTCTATGACAAAATCAATAACATATGAAGATTTGACAGAAGATATTCAATCGACATCCAATACTTTGCCTTTAGTTAATCAAGACAATTAATTATCTAAAGAAATTGACACCTCAATCGACAAATTCTTTTTTTTTGGCCAAAAACTCCAAACAGAATAGGCAAAAAGCAAAAAGAAAGGTTGCCTTTCGTGCTCACTTCTTCAGATCGTCAAAATGCAGAGAGGCGTAAAATTGAAGAAAAAACAAAATAAGAAAAAATAAAATTAGAACAAAAACAAAAGCGACTTGACTCAAAAGCAAACAATAAATGTCAAAAAAGAAGGAAACAAGATGAAAGTAATAAAAAAAATGAAAACAGACACACTTATTGATCATACAATTAAAAGGAAGAATTGTCATGGAACCAATTTCCTGATTCTGTAGAGGAAAGCGTTAATCTGCCCACAATTGATAACATATTTTTTGATGTCTGCAACAATATGAATTCATCTAATTTAAAGAATACATCCCAAAGCAAATGTACAAATTTGGAAACCAGCAAAGGAAAACGTGCTGGTGAGTCGGCTAAAAGAAAGTTTTTTTAAACTGGGGGATATTCAGAACATGAAAAAATACAAATTCTCCCAGATATAACGGTAAAATAATCAGACGACACCAACCCACCTGTAAATAACTTTTTGTATATAGGATTGTTTTATTCTTGTTCCTATAATATATCTAAATTAAAAGTTGGAATAAAATGTCTATTATGTCTATTTTGTGTTAGAGGCTACCATAATGGTACTTGTACAAAAAAAGAAAATAGGAATTTTATGAATGGCCAATGACTGTAATTATATATGCCAATAACTATGTTTGTATGGCCAATAACTATGTAGTTCTGTAAGTTTTCAAATTTGTGTTAATTTTTGATATACATTATTATTTCTGATTACAAGAACCTGAGATATTTATAAAATTTGATGTTTCATTACTATTAAGGTTGATCTGCACCCTCGATTAATTTGTTTCTGATCCTAGAGATGGCTCTACTGCGGCATGCTACTGTGGTAAATTTTTTAACTTAATTGTAGATTTCTACATGACGACTCTGTAATATTTTCAAATCCTAACATAAATTGCAGTTTTCTGTCATTATATCAATTGGCTGAGTTGCCAAGTTGTGTAGACAGTAATTTTATCAAATATATGCTATAACTTATATGGTTACTAGTAGACCAACTAAGCAAAGATATCTTATAACAACATTTTTATGTATAATACTTTACTGTTCTGCTATGTCAGTCGGAATAAATACACCAAATTCATTCATTATCTAAACAATTTTACCGACAAAGAAATTATGTATGTTGCGGCTTTCTTTATCAATATCATATTACCATTAAATTCGTACATCATATTATATTACATTTTTGTTGATAGTTAAAAATTAAATGATCTGGTATTATGATTATATAATATTTTAGTGGGAAATAACAAAAATGTTATTTAAATCTATTACTATCTCAGTCTTTATGAATTAATAAATTTTACTATGTTTTCTTCTTCGGTTATATTTATATTTCTTATTTTATGCTTCATTGTTCTGGCTTTATTGGTCTGTTTATTCTTATAATTTTTCTTTTAATAATTCTTACTTTTTCATCATCTTTTTTCGTAAGACACATTACTTCCGCCCCTTATGCTATCATCGGTCTAATCGCTGTGTCTATGTATTTTTGTCTTTGTTTTTTTTTTGCTGTTTTTGTATTTTTAAGTAGTGGGTGATATTTCCAAAACACCCCGTTCTTCTCCCGTCTTGTGTGCGTGTTAGTCATACGTTGGATGTATTATTTGGAGTGGTTGATGCGTATTTAGTTATTACGGTTCTATTTGGTCTATTTAGTTCTTCAGTTTCCGTATTCGACAATTTTATAACGCCAAATGAGGACTATGTGAAAGGTGTCATTGCGTATGTGTTTATTGATTTTACTAAGTGCTTGGAATTAAGTTTGCTTTTGAGTATTATCCAGATTTAGCCATACGGCTCACACTCCCTCTATGGAAAATATCGAGGAAAATTTACTCATTCCAGATACCTACGGTATCAAAAGGATTGAGCTTTGGTGGGACTCTTTCTGTGTTATTGAGCCCTAGGTGACTTGGTGTACTGGAGTATCTCCCAAAAATTTTCGTACATATGTGGACGTCGCGAGGAGTACAGCTTTATGTATGGCCTTATAAAGATGTTCATTTAGACCTACCTGTTTTATGTTCGCTAGGTGATTTTTGGGAATAACACGAGTAACATGAGTATTATTATTATTCCCAGATTTAGCCATACGGCTCACACTCCCTCTAAGGGGAAAATTCACTCATCCCAGATACCTACGGTATCAAAAGGATTGAGCTCTGGTGGGACTCTTTCCATGTTATCGAGCCCTAGGTGGCTTTCTGCATGGCCTTATAAAGATGTTCATTTAGACCCAGCTGTTTTATGTTCGCTAGGAGGTTTTTGGGAATAACACCAGTAGTAGATAGAACAATAGGTAGTGTCTGGGTACTTTCCATTCTCCATTGTCTCCTGATTTGTATTTCTAGATCTCTGTACTTGGCGATCTTTTCGTTGTATTTAACAACTAAATTATTGGTGTTGGGTATCGCCACATCAATAAGTGTTGTTTGTCTAGTAAGTTTATTAACTAGTATGAGATCCGGTCTATTATGGGCCACTGGTTGGTCTGTAAGCACAGTGCGGTCCCAGTATAGCTTGTAGTTGTCATTTTCAAGCATTCTATCAGGAGCGTATTGATAATAAGGAAGATGGTCGGTATGGAGAAGTCCCAGTTTGTCAGCTAGTTCTTGGTGAATAATCTTTCCTACTGAGTCATGGCGTTCTTTATAATCAGTACCGACAAATGCCTGGCAGCCACCGGTAAGATGTTGGATGGTTTCTTAGGCTTGGCATCCATATCGACATTTGTCATTTTGGACTTGAGGATCTTTAACAATATATTTCAGGTAATGGCAAGTAGGAAACCCTCAGTCTCGGGAAACATCTTTCCTGATGTCAACCAATAGTTCGACGCTGTATTGTCGACATATTCTTGGTTGATCTCATTGAGATGTCGCCCATGCAGAGGTTTACTCATCCAGGTGCGCATTTTTTCTTGCTGAGTCAGGTGGTTTATGGACCTAATAATGGACTATCATTATCTAAAAATTTAACCTTTAATGGCCTAGGTTTAATACTATTGATAATCTTTCCAATACACGAAAAACGCGGAAACTGATAACGAATATTTGCTATTTGTATACAATCCTCCAACTCCATTGAGTTAGTTTGAGAAGGTTGTTCCATGGCCTCGACACGATCCTCAATCAATGTGAGTCTGTGTGATAACTTAGAAATTAAGTCAGTTAATTTATTGAACTTATCTTCGAATGTACAGCAACTACTACAGACGAGTCTTAGTGACTCCGATTTTGTCCTATTTATTCGTATAACT